ATATTTATCTAGATTTTCGTAGGGGGGCCCGGGCCCCCTATGCCCCCCTACGCCCCTGGTGGTCTGGTGATATGTGCTTAATAATTTAACTATGCGACTATCAAGCAAATATCTAGTTCTTTGTAGATAAGTTATATATGAATTAATTTTGATAAAGCACCATTAGTTCAAACTGACGAAGTTGTAATGTGAAATTCACTTCCTCGTCAGTTTGAATCACATTTCCCCTCAAGATAAGAAAGATTCAACTAAATTTACCTTTTGAGACAAAATAGTAGCTTTACATAAAGCTGTATATGGTAGCTATTTAAATGCAAAGCTTTACTATTGTTCAACTAAGTTTCTTTTATTCACAATAAAATATCCAATTCAGTCAGAAATTTAAATTTTTTTAATTTGAGCAAATTTATGAAACATTTCTATAGTCAAACTCAACAAAGTAGTGCTAACCAACATAATAACCTAAAAGTTTTGACATTTAAAAGTTTAAAACAAACAAAAACCAAAATTGAAATTTTCTCAAACACAAAAGTTGCAGGATAAGTTCATCCATGTTCTAGTTATTATAACAAATACAAAAGTTATTCAAACATTTGCTATACAATTTTAGTATAATTAGAGCTGCAATCCTCAGTTCATTTGTATCTACTTCAATTTATTTGTTTGTTGAAATGAAAAATAAAAACTTTTTAAAAAAGAATTTTTTTTCTAATCCAACAGCAAAGTTGTTATTCCTTAATGGATGGTCTGCATGCTTTTAGCTATATTTGTAGAGAAATGAAAATGAAAGGAGGGATTGAAGATATGTGTTGCAAGCAACTGACCATCAATTCTCACATCATCCTTAACCTTTCAGTTCCAATTTAAAATATAGCACAAAAACTTGATCTTTTTTGTTGCTGTTGAGTTGGAAACTTTTGTGTATTTTGCGGATGAACCAGAAAACGTTTTTTTATGAAATTCTAGAATTCATTAGCTTTTGTGCTCTTAAATGTTGCTTTGTTTCGTAAAAAAAAGCTACTTCACATGAAATTAGCAATTGCATTTAAATATCTGTTGCAACTAATTGCATTTTACATTCTCTGCAGCAAGTTTGTAGCTTGAACAAACAAATTGTGGACAAACTAATGGTATTTAAATACGTGTCAAGGATATCGTGCGATGTTTATTCAGGCCATTATTTAATCTAGATTAAAGTCTTTTTGTGACACTAAAGTGTGGCATTTGAAAGCTTTAGAAACTGCGACAGAAATTTCTGGAAATGTGATTGACGAAAATATTAAAGTTTTTCAAGAGACGAAGCTTCATTGAATTTCTTTGCTTCAAGCTGCTGATGAAGACTTTGGATCTTTAGTAAAGTTTTCAGTGCTGAACCTTCACTAACCAGCTCATTGGCATTTAAAAATTATCGGCAGTATAAAATAGAATGTAATTCAGGGTTTTGCTTGAAACAAAAATGGCACTGCGATTGATGACCAGAGTTTTCTATGATATAAATCTAACGTTCTTAATGAAACCAGTAATGTCCAGATAATGCTGCCTACTTATCGGCAACTATATTATTGCTCTCATTAAACTTTAACATGTGTTTTGCAGATTTTAGAGAGCCTAGCCGAATCTATCGAACAAAATCAAAAGTAAGGATCAATTTATTAGGTTATCAGTTGTAAGCCTTATCATTTTCAACCTATTTAAATGTTTGAATCTATGCAGGAGATGAAATATTGATAGGTTTGTAATTTATCCTTTAGAGTGCTTATCCCGCCATGAAGCTTAATAGCTACAAGTCTATTTAATGAAAGTGAGGGATACACTTAAGGAGCGGTATTCAAGCAGAGTAGAACTGACTAAATGCTTCAAATGGGCGCTTATGACTATGCCATGGAAAGCTCTAGTTCCCTATCTCTATTTTGATAATTAAAAGTAATCAAAATTTTAGGGATCATTCATGAATGTCGCCCAATTTTTACGGAAGGAAGTGGTTTGAAGCTTTGTGAATCTTCCTACAAAATACATTTTTGTATGATAATTCATGACAAAGAGCTCATATGGTCCAAAAATTCTATCTTGTAATGAAAGTCATTTGCGAACAACCTGTTCTTGCCTTTTTAATGATCGAACTGATATTTAATTAATTCCGATTCCTGACATCTTTATCACAAAAGCTCACAATCCCTTGATTTTTATCATTTAACCTTTTCTCCATTTCATCTATTTTTGGAGTATCATTTATTTAAAATACCAAATGGCAAACATTTTCTCATCATCATTTTGTAGATTGATTGAAAATCATTTGTTAAACAAAAAAAAAAATACCTTACAGTCTCGGAGTAGCATTCAATCTCGAAAAACAAGTTGAAATAGCAAACTTGTGTTAGCAGGAGTTGAAAAATAACTCAATTAAATTGATTTGAAATTTGATTTGTCGACATTTTTCTCAAGATTAATTGTCAAGCGGTAATTTAGTATCTACCTGAATGGGAGAATGTGGGGGCGTTTGGATATGATGTCTGATTTTCATGAAATAGAGTTTCTGATGCTGTATTGGACTATATAAATAAGAGATGAGATACTTTCAAGTGGAACACAAGAAATGATGGCAATGTGATAACTAGAAGTAGGGTCGGCTTATCATTAGTTGACCCTCTCTCTAGTATTTGACTAAACATCATCCTATTAACATTCAGGAGGTTCCGAATCTCTATCCTAAGCTACCTAATCTACTCTACAAACTAGTATAAATGTTGTTTGAACTCTGATAAGTCACCTGGTCTACAAACTGCTATGATATTTAAGTTTAAATCTAAAATCTAATTTTTTTAGAGACATATCACTGAATAACAACCCCCTAAGAAATATCCAACTGTAAAATTATTGATTTTTATGCCGAGAACATTTCAAAAGCATTCGAATTATTGAATACTTTTTTTTTGTTAGACAAGCTATGAAGGCATGAAAAAACATGAACACAGAGCAAAAATTGCAACATTTTTTTTACGATTGCCAGTCGCTCGGTGGTGAAATATTCATTTCATTTCGATTGTGTCTGATGCAAAATAAGGCAAGACAAAGAGGCTTATGGGTAACAAAGCTTTTATTTTTTGAAAAAGGACTGTGGCTTGACATTTTGAAAAAAAAAATAAAAATTTATTTGCTTTCGATTCAGATTGTGCAAGATTTTTTCAATAATGCACCGAATTTCTCACACACAAGTCCATGGTCAATGTAGAAATTCGTTTCGTTTTACATTTTTTTCAACCATTCATTTCTATGTAAAATAAAATTATGGCATAAATAAGTGGAAAAAGTTCAAAAACGTGCGAAGATTACATAATTATGTTGATCAGTCGCTATCATGCCACATTGGAGATTATATGAGAAATGAGAGTAAAGCTGTAAAGAGTGTAGGCAATATTTGAAATGCTTATTAATTGATTATTAAGCTCCGAGTAGAAAAAAAAGTACAAATAAATTATGAAACACCTTAAGCAGTCCAAAATACACAGAAACTAAGAAATATACACAAATGTGAGATAAACAGACAAATCAACAAGCATATTGAGTTAATTTCATTAGAGACTCAAAATTGTTTGGGTGTTAAAGTGAAAGCCAGACATAAATCTTTATGTTTATCTCCACGCTTTTTTTCTCTGTCGTTTATATACATTTGACATTAGAGGATTGAAATGTGTTAAGAAGAAGTTGATAGCATATGAAAGTGAATACAAATTGAGATGACGTGATCGGACTCTTAAGGAGAGTTATTTTGGAAATTGATTCGTTTTATTCCTAACTTTATTCGGAAATGATATTCAAAGATTTTGAATTGATTTTTAAATATTTAATAGATTTTTTGGAAAAAACTATTCTTGTAAGTCAACTGAACTTGTCCTTTAAAACAGAATGTATCACTTGATATGTGCATCGAGTAACTGAACATATCCATCGGCATAAACTTTAATAATTGAATTTATAAATTTATTTAATACATAGAAAACTGAACATATCCCTTGAAGTTTTGAGAGTAAAACTAATCTTGTGCTTTAATATATAAAATGATATACAAGACTTTAGTGAAACAAAGTGCAAATTACCGTTATTGCTTTTTAAATCAAGGGTGTTGAACTGAAGAATTCCATTTTTGATCAATTTTGATAATTTTTGATCAATTTTGATCAGTTTTGATAATTTTTTTGATCATGTTTGATCATTTTTGATCATTTTGTCAGTACCACACCCTTGGTTTAAATAATATTTAATTGTAGGGTTGGTATCCCGAGTAGTCTTAAAAACTGGTCCAAAATAAGCGTTTTTAAAAGTGAATTTGTCGCAATGATTAGAAAACTGATCACATCCCTTGTACAAATATACTTAACGTATCCTCTGCCATTAAATAATTGTTCAAAAACTGAACATAACCTTTTAGCATTACGACTGAAAAACTGATCGTATCCCTTTAAATAAAAGTTCCAAAAACGATTTGCTTTTGCCTTTTAGGATTATGACTGAAAAACTGATCGTATCCCTTGAAATAAAAGTTCCAAAAACTATTTGCTTCGATTAAGTTCCAAAAAACTGAATACATCCTGATATTCAAAATTAAGAAACTAACCATATCCAATCAATAAATTTTCAAAAAATAGCTTCAGATCTTTCAAATAATTCATAGAAAAGCTACTTCGCTACTCTCACACTAGTCAAATAAATCTTCAAATGAATATCATATAACACACAAAAAAAAATCCAATTTATCGAGCTTCAAGCACAAGAGCAAAAATAAAATCGGAAATAAAACCCTTTTTAACAAATTTCAATTGCACGTGTCCTCGTTATATCACTCTCAGTATCCAATAATCTCATTTAATACAAAAATAAAGCTATCGAAAAACGAGTGTGTTGAATTTATTTTCCCTCTAAACTATAAAAGTGTCACCTTACAGAAGAAAGAATAATTGTATGACAGATGTATCTAACAATTTATTATTTTTCTCCAATTCCAGCAGATGCAGTTCGAGTGAAACGACAGAGTGATGATAAAGAGAAAAAGAGTGCAGCAGAATATGAGCAAGAATTGTGCAAAGATAAGGATGCTGGTGAATGGTTTCGTTTAGTAGCACATGAGGGTGATGGTTGTCGTGACGTTATCCAATGTACAACATCGGTATGTGATAAATGTTTTATAAATTGTCACTCAACTCTTTTTTTTACCTCTGGTTCTTCAACCTTATTTTCAATTTACAGGGTCTTCAAGCTATCCGTTGTCCAGCTGGTCTCTTTTTCGATATTGAGAAGCAAACGTGTGATTGGAAGGACGCTGTCAAAAACTGCAAACTCAAGAATAAAGAAAGAAAAGTAAAGCCACTTCTGATAACAGATGAACCATTATGTCAAGACGGATATCTCGCATGTGGTGATGGCAATTGTATAGAACGTGGATTATTCTGTAATGGAGAGAAAGATTGTAACGACGGTTCCGATGAGAACTCATGTGGTGAGTGTGAAAACAAAAAATCTCATAAATTAATGAATGTGGATTATTGTGTAGGATTGGATATTGGATATCCTTGTGGGAACTCTTTGTGGATTTTGCAGCGAAGAATATTAGCTATATAAGGGCTGATTTAATTTAATCTTTTAAAATTAGGACTGTAGTGATAAAAATTGTATAAATTGACGACATTATTGAAACTGACCCCTCATAGCCATGTCTAAGTTGCCATGGTTATTGACCTGACAAAGCAATGATGGCTGGTTTAAGACAATTCAACGCCAAAAACTTAGCATCTTGGTATTATTTATGTTCTACACCCTTCATTGGCTTTGTCAATTGATCAACCTTCTATCTTCCCCGTTTCTAAGCTAAAGTGCTTAATAAGTATCTAGCAACTACCTTTAAGGGTGACAACAGTTCTCAATTATCAAATGAATCTCAAAATACTTCTAGATTAGCAAAAGAAGCATCAACTAGCAAGTCTTATACAAATTCAACAATTTTATTTTTCTATGTGATCCGTGACTTTTCATAACTGTCGCCTTTAGTCTCCCTAGCTTCGAATCTTCTACACAAAGTCCAATACTGTTTCTATGTTCAGCATCTAACCTTAAGTTCTTTGTTTATCGTCATAGTTCCTTGATTTTATCCGTCATAGTTGCAAAATGACAGAAATAATCAGACAAAACTCTCGCCTGATCAAAAAAGTCACCAATTGTTTTATAAATCACATCGCTAAACACAAAACAAATCATAAATCAAAGATATGATTGAGAGCTTTCAATCACGAAATGTCTTTCTATAAAGGTCAACCGATCCTACTTGAGATCTTTGATTAAAACGTCACAAATGATTTCATTTAGATTTCTATTACCAACAATTGTTTTCGCTAGCTAGCAATTATCAATTAAACATCTATAACCTTTTCAGCCGAAATAAGTACACTCTTTCTCCTTTTTTAAAAAGCGACATACTGAACTAATAAAAAAGTTCAACAAGTTCTTCTTCTTCCTTTCTAACAATTCCAATAGCTTCGATAATGTCATCATACCGCATAAGTCATTTTTCAGTTTCTCCTTCATACTTTTACTATCTTCACAAGCTTCAACAAAGAAATGTTTTTTTATGACTTATGATTCTTTTTATTCTTCATGTCGTGCCCTTTCACATACTGCTGTTTCATTCTACAAAAGTCGTAACATTATTTTTTGGCACAATCGCTTTATGATTTTCTCGTAATAAAAGTTTAGGCTTCTTATTCGTATTGTCTTTTTATTGGTGAAATAACTTGTTTAGATGATTTTGACTTTATAGGAATATTATGATGAATAGGAGTAGAGTATAGGAGTTCTTCTGCTGTAGTTTAAGTCTCCAGACTCCTTTGCCCTTCTGTAGATCTAAGTGTAGTCAATAACCTTTATTAGTCGTCTCCTAAAGCTAGATCAATAGCTTTATTGAGTGCAATATTTTCTCTGTCAACAGATTCATTCCAAGAGTCTTTAAGTAGCAGGGGCGTAGCCAGGGGGGGGGGGGGGGGCATAGGGCCATAGGCCCCCCCCCCCTCCTACGAAAATCTGATAATTGTTTTACTAAGTATTTATAGAGAAAAACCAGTTAATGTAGATGAAAGTGATGAAAGAAATGTCAAAATCAGCACGAAAAATTAAATTTAATGTATGAATAATGAATTAAATATTTAAACTTATGAAGAATGAATATAGATTTAAGGATAAAAAATAACGGTTTTTTTAATTTTCGAAAATGCCCCCCCCCCCTTAAAAATTTTCTGGCTACGCCCCTGTTTAGTAGTCCATATCATCTTAACTTACTTACTTCTTGCGTAGTAGGTAAACAACACCTTCCCGATTACAATAAGTAGCATAAGAAACATTGAACCAAGCACACAACCAAAAATAAAGAAATGCACTTCCTATCTTATCATAAAGCTCAGTGAACTGAAAAACTAAAGCAACATTTGCATCAAAGCTGCTCAATTTTCCCGAGGCAGCTTTTATCTCAATGAACAATTTTACTTCATTTTCTCCATATTCCTCTTTACTTTTTTTACGATGTATTGAAAGCACAAAAATATACTCAACTCTCATATAATATTACTGCTGTTCATGAACTCTCATAAACTGAGCGTTTTTATTGATACTTGAAGGTTCTCTTAAAAAGAGATGCAAAGACAATAAGAAACTATCATTCAGTGCTTTTATTTCTTTGAAGCATAAAAATAAGAGTTTTCTTTGTAAATTACAATAAATTTGAAATCCAATCAAGCAAATCGTTTTCTTGCTAAAGTGCATTAATGGGAGGTCTTGTGAATAATTTAGTTGCAAGAAAAAAATCAAACTTTATGCTCCAAAAACTTTTCAAATGAAGTCAACAATTTTTTATTTAATTTTCCATCCATTAGACATCGACAACGATCCAAATCGTGCTCCACCTTGCGATCCAGCTGTATGCGTTCTTCCTGATTGTTTCTGTAGCGAAGATGGAACAACAATTCCTGGTGATTTGCCAGCTAAGAATGTTCCTATGATGATTACAATCACTTTTGATGATGCCATCAACAACAATAATATCAATTTGTACAAAGAAATGTTCAATGGAAAGAGAAAGAATCCTAATGGATGTAACATAAAAGCAACTGTAAGTGTGATTGAGCCTTGATTTCTTTTAAAGATTATTGTCGAATCTGTTGAAGTGGAAATTTTAATTAATTTTATCTTTTTCATTTCATTCGCAGTTCTTTGTTTCTCACAAATACTCCAACTACTCAGCTATCCAGGATATTCACAGACAAGGACACGAGATAGCAGTTCATTCGATTACGTAAGTTCTTTATTCTACTTTGAATCACTGAGCACATTTGTAAAATTAAAAAAAAAATCTTTATTGCTTTTCTTCTTTTGCTGTTGAACAATCCACTTGCCATACATCCATACAGTCACAATGACGATGAAAGATTTTGGTCAAATGCCACAGTTGATACATGGGCTAAAGAAATGGCTGGACAGAGAATTATAGCAGAGAAATTTGCCAATATCTCTGATAATTCAATTGTCGGTCTTCGTGCTCCATATCTTCGCGTTGGTGGAAATAATCAATTTACAATGATGGAAGAGCAAGCATTTTTGTACGATTCAACGATTACAGCTCCATTACACAATCCACCATTATGGCCATACACTATGTATTTCCGTATGCCACATCGATGCCATGGTAACTTACAAACATGCCCGACAAGAAGTCACGCTGTTTGGGAAATGGTCATGAATGAATTGGATAGACGTGAGGATCCATCAATTGACGAAGATATTCCCGGATGTGCTATGGTTGATTCATGCTCAAACATTTTAACAGGTAAGCCTATTATATCTGATTAGAATTGTGCGTAGATTGTAATGAGAGTCGATGACTCAATCAATTTTGAGGCATGAACTTGGATGATGACTTTGTAAGTGAGTTATCGGATAGTAAGAGTCATGTTGCTTGATGGTGCAGAATTAAGAGAGATAGAGAAAATTACGAAATAAGAGTAAATATTACCATAGGACTGATAGTGAGCATGTAATTTGATAAATGGTTTGAATAGAGAATCAAATAGTAAGCGAAGCTGCAATCGAAGCTGTATTTTTGCTTAGATTTAGGTTTATAACTGATGTATACCTAAAATAGTATAGCTAGATACATTAAAGATATTTTACTATATTAGAGATCTACAATTTCAGAATTTTCGTGTCAAGCACCTCTTATAAATTCTTTATCTCATGTTTCTGCCAAAAGTTCAAATCCTCTTCGTTAAGAAAGCTTTATAGCAACAATTTTTAAAGATTCTAAAAATAATTCATTGTTTCCATTAAATCAAATTCCATAAATCCACAGGTGACCAATTCTACGCCTTCTTAAACCACAATTTCGAGAGACATTATGATCAAAATCGTGCACCATTGGGTCTCTATTTCCACGCTGCATACTTGAAGAACAATCCAGAATTCCTCGAAGCTTTCCTCTACTGGGTTGATGAAGTTCTTGCCAATCATAATGACGTCTACTTTGTAACAATGACACAAGTAATTCAATGGATGCAAAATCCACGTCAATCATCAGAGATTAAGAACTTCGATCCATGGAAGGAGAAGTGTGCCGTCGATCCATCATCACCACCAGCATGCTGGGTACCAAATGCCTGTAAATTGATTTCAAAGGAAGTTCCCGGCGAGACATTGAATCTTCAAACTTGCATGCGCTGTCCAAATAACTATCCATGGACTCAAGATCCAGAAGTAAGATGATACGTTGCTCCTTGTTGTGTACGGAAGATGATTTATGACCATTTATTTATTTTCTCGTTACAGGGCAACGGATTCTTCCCATAAAAAGATTTTTAAAGGAAATCTTTCCTTAAACTTTTGAAAAAAAAAAACTCTTCCGCTTAAAATTCTTCCCTTCTTCCTACTTAAAAATCACAAAAGGATTTTTCTTAAATTATTTTACCTCCTCCCTTTGCTATGCTGTCCCTCTTATAAGTGCCTTAAAACCATTTTATTTTCCTTTTCACTATTAAATAGCTTGAACAACAAAGCACGTGCAAATCGACTGAAATTTCCTTAATTAATTTTGTTCTTTTTTCCTGCTTACCTTGCTCACTCTCCATTCATTAGATTGCTACTTTTTTCCCCACTCTCCTATCTCTTTCTTCAACTTATAATGATTGTGTTTTGTTGTTTACACCGTATTTGAGACTAGAATGAAAGAAATGTAATAATGAAGCGGAAAAAAATTGCCATTTCATGCCGCAACATAAAGTTCTTAATGCTTCACATACAATGATTGTGTTTAGCCACCTTCCTGAGTTGCTGCATTGCTGTAAAGTGAGGTTATGGTCGTTCTATAGGTGCCAAGAAGGCAACTTAGTAGAAAATTGTCTAATTTTCTCCTAGGTTGTGGAATTGACTTCTTCAGGACTTAATTATATCCTTGACAGACGATCAAAACACCGCCTTACAGCCATGTGCCACTCGGGGTTCTTGGCTTATGTTTAAGAAATTTTTTATGTAAATTTCCACCTTTTTTATTAGCCAATTTTGTTTTAATTCAGTTAAAAGAATTTTGTACTTACTTACTTACTTACTCTCTGCTTTTCTGTAGTAGGAAGACAAAAGAAAAAAAATCTCTTTCTACATAGAATGTAACAAAATGAAAAATAATGGAAGGTAGATGAGAAAGAAAAGAAGAAATAAAATCAATTATAAACTGTGTAAATTTGTGTTGTGCCTTGCATTTGATTCTGTTTCTATTTCAGGACTGATTTTGGGAGGAAGTTCATGAATGACGTCCATTTTTATGAGTTTTGGATTATAGTCTATTGGATTATAGACTTTAGTCCACAGGACCTAGACCTAAATCACATATTGTTCTACTGAGTCTCAAACAACTGATTTCTAAGTCGTCGTTGCTGTTTGCATGCATCGAGGTACCAACCCATAAATCATCCGTAACATTATTCATGTACAATTCCAGTCAGTTTCGTCGTCGCATTTATTTTTATCACTCACGACTGCTCTCTTTAGACATAAATTCATCTCGATGCTTCTATTTACATTTTATCAAGGTTAACGTGTTTCTATGATGAATAATTGCATCATTATGGACCAGTAGATGAGAGATTGATGAGGTATTGATGGAATATGTAATGAGATACCAGAAAAGTAAAGAAGACAGCGACTGACTATAATAATTTATGTTCAAATGCCCTTAATTTTATGGAGATTCTGAACTTGAAATGTGTGTCGGTAGGACACTTTTCTTAAATGTCGGTCACAGAAGCTTTCACTTTTTTTTGCTAATGTTTGCTGTTTTGAATTGAATGGCTTGATTTATGAGGCCGTGTTATGGGTTTTATGGACAAAAATATTCTGTGATTTAGGACACTATTATTTAAATATTGAGAGCAACGAAGCTGACACTGCAAGTTAGAAGATTTATTGGAGGATATTCTTCTTACATCATGAAACGCATTTGTTGCTGTGAATTTAGAGATGAATGGTAAATCGATAGTGAAGATGTAGATAAAAGAAGACTGACTTTTGATGAATTTACAGCATTGAATTTTGTTATTTTAATATCAAGCCTAGCAAGTATCAAACCACACTAGGCATGGCATTTAAAACAAACATGACCTGTCTTAAGAATCTTCTTTTTAAAAGACTTTTCGGACATTGCTCCTCGGGGTTGTAGTACTTATAGCACACTGGTCTAGTACTGCAAGTTGATAGCATGTGATGCATTTGTGGACATTTAAATCTGCATGATGGTATGGCCATCTGACAGATGCTTATAACAGGGATGTACCCAGATTGACGCCAAAACTCCATGAGACTAGCTCATGCAATATTGTGAGCAGCTCTTTCACTTCAAACAGGCGTCAGAAAAATAAGTTTCCATCCAAAAATTATGAAAGTTCATGTTATAATTGTGCATTAATTTCAAAATTTAAAACTCCAGCGCTAATGTTGCAGCCTAAATATCAATAATCGCATTAAAAGCACAATTTCAAATCGACCGACTGATTTAAACTGTAAGCAGCTTACAGCATTTTACTGTTAATGTCAACATTTTTGCTCAAAAATCTAATAATTTGCGAAAATAGGAAATTATCTGCTGTTTACTAACAGACGAAATGTACCGAATGTTGTGCTGTAAGCTGTCAAAATCTTCGTTTTGCGGTTTTTGTTGACTTTCTCAAATCTCAAATTACACTTCAATCTCCGACAAAAAAAAAAGGTTGTTGTATATTTTGGAATCTCTATATCTCATCTACCCTACAAATAAATCAGCATAAAAAATGCTGTCAGCCTAATAAAATGATAAAAATAGACCCTTTCCATCCACAATGATGAGCATCTTCGTCTCGTCTCATATTACATTTCACAGTCAACGTCAACCTTTGATGCCGATTAAAAATTTCTTAATACCACAAGAGTTAGGTAATCGTATAAAATATTAAGGAGAAAGTTGTACGCGTAGAGAAAATAGACGCTCGAATAGAAATGTCAAGGTTTAACTTGTTTGACTAAAGTGGCTAATTTATGTAAAAAATAATAAAAATGAATAAATTTTAATTAGCAGCAATTTTTTTGGAGTTTTGTTTTCTGAATTTCGAAGCTGGATGGGGTCATTAGCATGTGACGTCAATGATGATTTAACAGCTGGAGACTTCTGGTTCCTCTCCTGATTACTTACTTTTAGCTTACTGTAAACATGTTCCCATGTGGAGCTTAGATTACAACAAAAGGCCTTCCATCTGATTCTGTTGCTGGCTCTGTCACCTAGTTTATACATTTTGTCTGTCCGTACATCAAGCTGACATTCTTTCATCACTGTTCTGCGCCAAGCAGCTTTTGGAGTTCCTGGGCGTCTTTCTTTTGCGGATTCCAAACAAGAGCCATGTAACAAACTTGTGTTTCTGTTCCAGAAATGACATTCTCTCTGGCATTTTTCTTACGGAGTGTTTGTCCAGTTCAGCCGCACTTCCTCATCTATATCTTTTTGTTGATGTCTTGGCAATGATATTCGAATTGATGTGATCACAAGGAGGTGCTTTTTGACTTCCTTAACCATTTAGGCACCATCTTTGGGCATCTGAATTGCGGTGGTGGCTCTATGTAGCTTGAATTTGTCTTGACTTAAAGCAGATGCACCCTCTGATGCTGTCATGTCACTTATTTCTTAGGTTCAATGCTTAAAAAGATACTTCAGACACTTCTTAGAGGTGATAGAAGATTCACTCTTTGTAACAAAGAAGAAGCTAGTTTAAAATCATAAGATTAGCTCCAGAATGAAGTCCTTAAACCAGTGTTTCCTTCTCTATCCTTTAAATCACAAATTTGGTGTACTCGATCATAGTTACAGATCCACAGACGAGTGCCAGGTGTCACCCAATCTCTTGATTCTCGATCAGACATCATAACCAGACGACGCCCTATCACAAGCCAAGGACTTGATGATATTAAAATTAATGCTGCGCGTCTGAAAGATTATGTTATTTATTTAATCGCTGCTTTAATTAAGAAAAAACGATCTGCATTTTTAATTCACAATTTTTTTAAACTTTTTTTTTGTTCAGGTTTTTATTTTTTTGGTTTATGATGATTATTAAGATATACAGAATTTTGTGGATCTTATTCGATATTTCTAGGAATAATTTTTTTTTGTGATTTTTACAAATTTCTCAAAGATAATTAAAAGAAATTGTAAATCATAAGGTGTCATAGAGTTTGAAGGATCATGATCGATGGCATTTGAGATTTGTAATATTCGATTATTTTGGTGTAAAATTGGAAGTCTACTCATTTTTTTATATCCGATAACGTAAGCCTTTCATGTACAGCCTAAAATGATGTAGAAGCTTCCAGTTCTACGGTTGAATTTGGGGAAATTTTGGATTTTAGGGGGCATTTTCTACTATTAGGTTATTGAAAGTAGTCATGGGTGTCAAAGGGTGTCCAAAACCTTCTCGGGATCAAGATTTGTCCACAAAAAAAACCAGCCGGACACCTTCTCCCTTGTTTGCATCCCTGTTAAGGCTTCTTAATTAGCTAAAGATTGATTAGAGCATCCTAATTCGTTTTGAGGACTAAATACTCCCAAAAAGCACAAATCGGTTAATCGAAATGAATTCCGGCACCAAGCCAGCGTGACTCTGACATGATTATGGACTCAAATTGAATCCGACACCATACCAGAGTCACTCGAGTTCAGTGCCGGATTTATTTTCGATTAACCGACTATGTGCTGTTCGGGACTGTGTCAAATTACATCTAAAGTGATCTTATGGACCTCTTTTGAATAAAAGGACACAGTCGAAGCTTTAGTAGTGATTCTATAAACCCTAAGTCAATGTCTCATTCTGGAGAAAGATAAAGCTAAAATCAAAACACTCTAGAATTCACAGTCTCATTTTTAAACCCCAAATCTTGCATTTTAGAATGCAGCAAGATCTTTAACATTGATAGATCTATTTCCAGCACCTTAGACTTTCAGGAAAATTTCCCGAAACATTCAAAAAATATTACAAAAGTTCTCAGAACAAATAAGTTTATGGCTGCAGCTTCCCAACCACCATCGATCATTGTCAGGGTTATTATACTTCCAGAATCTCAACTCTGACTTATCATTCACCTTCAATCTATGAAATTACATTAAATTAAATACGAAATTTTCTACAATTTTTCAGCAATTCTTTCATCAATTTTTTTTTTATTTTTTACTTTTTTTCCATATAGACTCGCAATTTTTTTTATAGAGTTTATGTTCCTTTATGTTGCATATTATTTTCATTTCATTTCATTAACATACGTCATAATTCTTTGTACTTAAAATTATTATTTATTGATCTCATGAGAAGGTATCTAAAAAGAATTAATTTTAAGTTTCAAAGCAGAAATAAAATACAAAATTTTTCTTTATGCAGCATGCACGCCTTCGAATTATAAAATCATCACAATGAAATGAATATTCAAACTGCATGCGAATCTATAACATTTTTTTTTTTTCTTCGGGTCTCAAAATTATAAATCTAACTTAAGAATTATCAGAGCACTTAAAATAAATATGTACAGCATGAACAAATCAAATTCATGGGTGATAGGAAGGTATCAAAAAAGAAATTCATTCATCCACGCTATCATTTTTTTACTAATTATTCAGCTATCACATTTTTTGTATCATATTTGTTCAATGTTAATTTACACTCGAATGCTGTTGGTAGTGAATTGAGTAATTGTGGGAGGTTCAGGCATTTTGTAATGCAATTTTATAGCTTGACTGATTTTTTGAGGAGTTAATTGGTAGGTATTGTAATTGCGTTGCATTCAGTCATGGTGTTTTAAAACCAGTTTACTACGGGGCCGTTCACTTATTATGTTCGCATTTTAGGGGGGGAGGGGGGGTTTGAAAAATTGTAACAAAATGTAACATAGGGGGGGGGGGGGGGTATGTAACGTTCTAACGTCGTCTGTCTTTTAAAAAAAAAGTCCACGAAAAATTTTTGTTTAATGATAAAATAAATTATGAACGTTCAGGGGGGTGGAGGGGGTTGTGAGTTGTAACATATTGTAACAAGGGGGGGGGGTGAAAAAAGTCGTTTTTTTGCGTAACGTAATAAGTGAACGGCCCCTAAGGTGTCATAAGAAATTCACGACTCTGAGCACAACTTCTGATGAATTTGAGAAGTTCCAGGTAAGTCGAGGTCTAAATCTCACTCATACTCTCTATATAATACTTTAGCAACAGATCCAAGTCCAATGGAAGTAGACTAAATTGATATATTCAGCAGATACCTTAACTAAGTGTTTAAAGACACTAAAATGAGGCATATTCATGCTGTTTCTATAGATATATATGTATGATGCTTGTGTAAGTAAACTATCAGCTTCTAGAAGTCATGTTGCTTGATATTGCAGCGTTGTGGATGCTGCTGGATCATGTGAGCTCAACTTTACTATCAAATCTTTAATAAACTAGCTTCAAATCCCGTATCAATCTATTGATCACTTCCAATCAATCCTAACCTCAATTATTTGCACAAAACCTTTATCTTCCAACCTACCCCAATCTCACTATCAACAACAATCCAGTACAAACCAACATTGAACAACATATCTTATGAAAAATGAGTTTTGTTTTCTCTTTTTTTAGGGCAAATAATAATAATAAACTTCTCTTCTTGTTCCTTTCAACTTATCATATCATACTTTTGATATAAGCTGAGTGTGTCACACTTTCGCTTTGTAAAACAGTTCAATATCCAACAGCAAATTGCGCAAAAATAATATTATTTTTTGACTGATAAACAGAGGACATCCAGAATGACAATTATTTTACAGATAAAGATACCTAAATATGTCACATTATACTATGGATGACATTTACCAATAGAGTCTACACCTGATTTAAATATTTTGTAAATGTTACGTATCATTCTGAACTGTGGGATTCCCAACATCCTGCCTAGTTCATCTAGTCAAAAAATCTTAAAACTTATAAATTGCACTTAAATTCGTTGCAAATGAAATGAAACAGGGAAGAAAAAAAAAATAACTAAAAATACTCGTAAAGGTACACAAGTTGCTTAAACACAAAATTAAAAGCAAGTTGAGAATCCATTTCAATCACACTTTTTTTTTGTCACATAAATTAAGAAAATTAACGAATTTTTTCAATTTTTTTGTGTTATTTTTTTGTCATTTGGATACTAAACGGTAGTCAGGAGTGCATCTGGGGGAGTTGAGACCTTCCTAAAGACAGTCATTGGACACACCCTTATTAAAGAGTAACCATTGACATGCACTATAGATAGACTCCTTCCAAAAAGTCACCAGATATACCCCTGACTTTACTGAAAGTTAATTATAACTTTCTCATCATCTTGCTTAATAATTATATTAATAAATACATGTGAAGTTGCATCACTACTTTCTCTGACTCTGCCTTCTCTTGTGTCTCATCCAATTCGCGTGCTGATTTGCATTACTCCTCTGAGTCTGTCGAATAGATGTAACCTTGCTTTTGAAGGATATAAAGTCGCTTCTCAACAGCGTCTTTGTCTGAAAATAAACAACAAACAGAGGAGAACATTAAAATGAGATGATGATTAATGATGCAATTTATTATCATACTTACATTTACTTAATAACATTTTATCATTCGGATGTGTACATTTTTGTGCAAGCGAATGAAGTAAGATCTGCGCTGATTGATATCGTGTAAAACATTCTTCTGGATTACCGAATAACTCGTCTAATGCAGCCGTCTGACACTAGAATAAGAAGATTTTTAATGTTTAATTAATGATTATTGTGTCATAAAAAAATGAAAAATGGTTAAAGGATGCTTCTAGGAACGTGTCTGTGATTAATTTGTAATTTTTAAGGAAGCGACAAATCTATTTGATTTGGGAGAATTAATTTTGGGGTTTATGGATCATGAAATAATTGATATAAATTAAAATTGAGCTTGTATTAAGACTTTTAAATTAGGAAAATTACGACAAAATCTCTGCCGTAATGAGGTCAACATCCGAAGTAAAAATTACAGCGATTCTCACAACAAATATAAAAGAAACTACAATAAATCACGAGAAAATGCTTTAAATTTCCTCATAAACCTGTAGTTGTAATTCAAAATTCATTGTAAATCACAAGAATAATGTACACGAGGATCGCAGTAAGAATTTGGTGCAAAATATTGTGATTATGAGACATCTATAACAACTTAATTAGCGATGTTCTCATTAATTTATGCTTGCATATGAAAAATATACCATAAACACACTGGATACGTCCAGAAATGTAATGAACTATGACTGATCAGATCGAAAGCACTGATAATTAGATTTGTGACCTCCCTACAATTCTACAATATAAGCAGTCATTCACTTATGAAGACCCTTTGACATCAATAATGAACGACCTCTAATCTGACACGTGAATTGCAAATATTGAATTAGGAAGCTTACATCCTACACAATATTTTTTTGGCAAGGCTTTCAGCTTTAAACTTTGTAGCAAAAGTGAAATTCAATTCATGAATTAAACGTGACAAAAAAAATTCATCTGAATGTCAAGATCGTTAAACTGACGAATATTCTAAAAATTCATAGATCGTGTATTACATCTGTCAGTTCTCTAACACCCCTCAATGTCATTTTATATTTATACATCCTAGGATATAAATGGAAAAAGTGTCACTAACCATCTGTATTGCATGATCGTAGAGTATCTTATCAGCCGTAATATGATTTGCTGTCGCTCTTTGTAGTAAGCCACTGGCATTAAGCTTCTTTGATTCACTTAACGTTGTACGGTATTTTAAATTCATTGTTGATAAAACTACAAAGAGAAAATATTAAAATTAATGTTAATAAAATAAGTGAAAAAATAGGCGCAATGTCATTTCTCTCAAAAAATTAAATAATTTTCAATTGGTTTGTTATTGAATGAGAATAAGATTGTAGGAAATGCAGGCTAAAAATAAACATTCCGAACAGGTTTATGGCAATTTTTTCAGTTCAATATTAAAAATGCCAAAAAAAACAGCTGGTCTTACACAAACTACAGGAAGATTCTCGAACAAAAGAGTTCATCGCTTCCTATTTGATTTTCACATATTGGCGCTAAGCAGTTGTTCTTTGTGGTTCACTTTATTGAGATTTTTGACACATGAAGTTTTGATTTAAATACTAGAAGAATTGATTTACATACTTGAATCGTTATTTTAAGCACTTTAAATCTTCGTGCAAGAATTTTTAATTTAGGAACTTAATATCTGCGTACTGGAATTTTAATCAAGGAACTTAAAATCTGCGTACTAGAATTTTTAACGTAAGAACTTAAAATATGCGTACTAGAATTTCTAATGTAGGAACTTAAAATCTGCGTAGTAGAATTTTTAATCTAGGAACTTAAAATCTGCGTCCTTGAATTTTTAATCTATGAACTTAATATCTGCGTACTAGAATTTTCCAAAAAAATCTTCAACTTTTAAAGAAATTCAAAAAAACATCTCAGCATCAACTTTAATCTCCCAATCAAAGTATTCAAATCACGACAATCTCCTCAATTTCAACAACCATAAATCTCATCTTAAAAACTTTAATAATCTCAAAGTCCATCAAATAATTTTCCAAGTCGAGAATGAAATATTAATTAATTCGTTAGATGCAATTAATATGAAAAAAAAGGTTCTGCTAATGAATTCAACAACACGTATGCCTCATAAACATCTCTGCATAGACACTCGAGTTACATCGACACTTCATATCGAATGAAACTTTACTGCTCACATTTATATCAGACAACACGTGTAACTCTTTAAATTTAAATGAGATTAAGCAGAATTTGCATATAGGAGAATTAAAGTTCATTGCCTAGATCTATAAATTGTATGAAAGGGAACGAGTGCTAGATAATCAGACGTCAGAAAGAGATTAATTGCTAATTGAATAGCGGAGTTTGTTGTTATTACGTTGTTTGACATCAAATGTCAGCTTAACTAAACTTTCACTCAGTTCCGTGAAAAGAATTTGCGATGTCATTTTTGATAATAAATTAACGGCTTTATGGAATTTGAATTTCAAAAAAATTTGAGATTCAAATTTTAGCAGTTTTTGTAGAATTCAAAATAATTAACGGTTTTTGTATAAGCACTAAAGGTCACTCACCATTCTTAACAGTATTCGATGGTTTTAAAATGCCATTCTGTAATTGTTGTGATGCCAAATTCAATCCACTCGAGAGCAACTGAAGTGCCCTTATCAACAATATTAATCGCTCAGCTCGCTTACAATGCTCGGGTGCATGAGGCTGTGCAAGATTCTGAACAGTCGGTGACTCATTGGCTGACATTAATGCCGAAAGTGGCGCACAACGAAGATCAGCAACCTCCAAAATGCAATCAGTCAATGCCAGTACGAAATTGAGTTTAGCAAGTGTCTCATTATGTTCACGCTATAAATGGAAAGAAATGCAACGGTCACAAAATGAATTTATATTGAATTGAAATAAAGATTACATCTAGTAAAGTTTCAGCAGGTAGTTCGGGTGCATAGAAGGTGATTCCTTGATCATCGAGAGCATTTCTCGAGTCATTATGTAATAAACTAAAGCCATTTGCAGCAGCACCTGTCATATCAGGTAATGTGAATGCACGTGTTCCACAAAGTGGATTATTATTGTTCTCAGACAATAACGTTGGACTTGAAAGGGTCGGTAATTTAGCTAGGGCACATCCGATTCCACCTGTCGTTCCTGAGCGTCTTAAAGCCGATGGTGATTGATTTTGGAAATTTGTTGTTGCTGATGGCGATATTTGCCATGTTGATGGAGGAATTGGAGGAGTTTCACCTCCTGATGTGGATCGTCTTCGACTAGGCGGTGTTCCAATTTGAAACTGTACACTTGGTGGTGAGATTGAGTTAATGTCCATATTGCAATTACTACTCCGGCGATTTGATTGCTTCATATTTATCGGCTGAGAACGAGGAATTCCACTGTGAGCTGGTAATGTACTCGGTTGCTATAGAAAATTAAACAAAGGTGAAAATCCATAAATTAGTTATTAGTTGTGAAACATTTAGTCGATGACATTTTGTTGGAACTAAATTTTGCTTGTTGTTCTGGTTTTGTTTTTAATTTGAGTCTAATTGGTTGTTTGTAAACAGTCTATTAAGCTTGTCTACTGGATCTACTGGATCTTATCCAGACAGTTAATAAGTTTGAGACATTTATTACTTTTTACACAGAATTAAAATTTTGATCAGTATAGACACAAAGAAACGAGTCAAGTTGATGCTTATTAGCTTCTTTATTGTGCTAGAAGTGACTTTAAATCATGAAAAAATCGCATATATAACAAAGTGAATAAAAACAGCTGAATACAGCTCAATTCAAGTTTTAATTTTCCGTTAAAAACTGAAGTGTTTTAAATATTAATTTTCTGTTACAAAGAGATTTTGTTATTTCTTGTGCCAATTATCTCAAAAGCATCACTTCTCAAAAAAGTAATCCACAATAATAAAAAGAGCTGATTTTTCTCTTCACTCTCTTGTTGTTCTATTTCATCATCGTATAAAAAAAAACATTAATTACGGCAATTTTTAACTTGTTTGTCTACAACGCAATAATAAATAATATAAAAGTTTAATGCCTGACACTTACTTTAGGTGGCGATGGAAGTCGTGAAATTTTCCTTGTCGGCACAGGCTTAGGCTCCGAAATAGGTAATGAACTTGGTCGTGGAGGACTAGAGTTGGATGGCGCTTTGTTGTATCTAAAATAAAGTATGTAACAGTTGGATGATGAAATCAGTTTGTGAGATTGCAATTTTAATGAAATTGATTTCTTATCGATTTAAATTAAATCCAAAGATTAAAAAATTAAATCCGTAGATTAAAAGTTTAAATCTGTGGATTAAAAAATTTAAAATCTATAAAAATCGAAAATAAATCCACAATTACATGCACACAATAAAACACAATTAATTACTCACTTTCTGTCATAAGCTTGAGCGTCGACGACAGGCAAATTGTTGGGAACTAGAACAAAATCATCTGAATTGTCAGGGCTACTTGACTCATTATTATTATTTGTACCATCACCAATACTCTCGTATCCAGCAGCTGTTGTATCTATTTCATTTATTTCGACTGCAAAGAGAATCAGCCGTTTGAAAAAATTTCCTATTTCCAACTCAAATTTTGCTTGGTTGCGAATTTTTCTCATATTTTTTTTTTTGACGAGACAATGTCTATTATTTTTGTAACTTTATATCTTAAGTATGTGTTTTATGCCAAAACAGAACTACAATTATATTAGTCAATAACTTTACTATTATTCCTCAGTCAATATTATATTATTTTATAGTCTCGATCTCTGTTTGAACACGGTAATATTTCACTTTATTTTACTTTGCTTCTTTAATAATAATTTTTTTTTTTTTTTTGCAACGTTTACTCTCTCTCAGGTCACAAGGAGAAATGCTCAGCAATGCCTTGATGTATACAATAATAAGCATCGAAAAAAAAAGTTTTTTTTTTTCATTTCATTTTCACGAATTGACATTAAGCGTTGGAACGGGAAAAATTTAAAACTGATGTGACGTTTATAGCAAAAAAAAAAACATTATCAAGTAGACGACATTGTTGGTGGATGTAATTAAGCGCAACCTTGAGACATGTTTATTTATTATTCACTCAGCTTTTTTTTTATCAAGGAAGTGAAGGATTTCTGATTGTGATTAGAATTGTAGATCAACTGTTTTGTAAAATTTGAATTATTTGCATCTCGAGATGCGGAAATTTAAATTTTACATGAACGTTAAGAAATATGAACTTTACAAAACCGTTAAAATTTTGCATCTTTTGAAAATGATGCAAAATTTTGAAATTTACAAAACCGTTGAAAAATTCAAATTTAACAAAACCGTTGAAAAATTCAAATTTTACAGAACCGTAGAAAAATCAAGAAAACCGTTGAAAAATGCAAATTTTAGAGACTTAAAATTGAGATTTTACAGATCCGTTTCGTGAGTTTTTCTTCATTTATAAAATTTAAACAAAACAGCTTTTAACAAACTAGTTTGAAAAACTTATAAAAGAAAAAATAGTAAATTCAATTCTCCCGAAAAAAATAACATAATTGACATTAAATTCATCGTTTATAACTCTTTTTGATTAGAGTATATTGAGTGGAAACTTGTGTCAAGGAAGGTAGACATAAGTAGTACATAAATCTATAATTAGAGTATTATTAATAGTAAGTAGAACTAATATGTTTATAGAAACATGGTATTTATTATTGACGACAACCTAATCAGGAGTGTAGCCAGGGGGGGCCATAGGCCCCCCCTACGAAAATCTGATAATTGTTTTATTAAGTTTTTATAGAGAAGAACCAGTTAATGTAGAGGAAGTGATAAAAGAAATGTCAAAATCAGCACGAAAAATTAAATTTAATGTATGAATAATGAATTAAATATTTAAACTTATGAAGAATGATTATAGATTTAAGGATACAAAATAACGGTTTTTTAATTTTCGAAAATGGGCCCCCCCCTTAAAAATTTTCTGGCTACGCCCCTGAACCTAATCTATAAGTTTTTCCTTTAATATCAAAAGTCGCAATTTTTTTCATCGACATTATAAACACCTTAAGTCGTCATAATTCTAAAAAAATAAACTATCCTACACAGAAATTGAAGTCAACAACAAAAAGTGTCTTTGAAGACGCACTCGACTTCTTATGAAAAAATTATCAAAATAAAATTCCGTCATTTGAAAAAACATCCACAAATCCTACGTTATAGACACTTGACAAACAAAACACATCGATAGTGTTTTCAATAGACATCATGGAGGCACGCTTGATCATCAATATTAAGTGAATCTCTCCATACTACATGTGTGACCTAATTATCTGATTAATCTTCAAGTATTTATAAAAATCCACTTTCATTAACCGAATATGTGAACTTATTAAATGATACAAACAGGCGAAAACTGAAATTTTCTCGAAATGAGTTTTGCAAATAAAAACTACGTAAATTCTGCCATTGCCTTTTCTTCATATCTATATTAAACATACACAGAGAGCAAATTTCCGTTTTAAGTTATTTTTTTATATATTTTATACATTCCCAGTTATACTGGTTCAAGACGCAATTTAGAAACGTTCTCTTTTATTTTTTTGCTTTGTTTTCGACCATGACCTGTCTCAAATCACACTCATATTAGCTTTAATTTTATTAAGTAAGGAAAAAAATGATTCTTTATCAATCAATAATTGAGTCTATGTCTGATAACGAAATGAAGTGACTAGAGGCTGTGATGAATAAGTTAATATACACATTAAAGTTAACAAGGCTAATGATTCCACTACGTCAGCTGATAATTAGCATGAATAAATTCTTAATTCATTGATATTAAGTGCGACTCAGATCAGAAATTTAATTGAAATATGAGAGCAAGTGTCACGTGAATTATGACAAAAAATCGGAACTTACAGTTGGGAATTTGATACTGATTACTGTCAATTTGGGTTAATGACATGTTTTTTTGCGGAATTCAGAAGAGGAAAGAGGAGATTAGAAATTTTGAAGAAATGCTTTATGTGCAATTCTACGAAAAGGTTTCATGAAAATAATCCGTGTCAATTGCATGAAATTTTTTAATTATTTTATTTTCACTTGTGCATAGTTTTTCAAAAATCTAATTCTCATTTCCTTTTCTATTGGTTAAACTGTGAATTATGATTACATCTGCACTCAAATTACTTAGCTGTGGCTTGAGAAATTCATGGTTTTAATTTTAATATTTGGTAGTTTTTTTGGAATTGTCTCCAAATTACTCTGTTTCACTTATGAAATTTTTCGTAGAATCCAAATTGCAGCTTAATTAAGGCTTCCACAAATATGATTTTGATATCGTTTTGAAGCTTTTACTTTAAGCTATAACTTTGTATACTTAGTATCACTGGAAATTTTACCATCTTAAACATATTAATGAAAACATTTTGGAAATTTGGTCGAAAAAATTCATGTGAAACAAAGTAATTTTTCGTAGAATGTAAATAATTCTTTAATTAACCATTTTTAATATGTTTGGGTGAGAACACTATGTAGATCTCGGTAAAATTTACTATTAAATACATGAAACATGGGGAGTAATGCAACTGATAAAGAGAAATATAGATTTGGAGACAAATTAGTAGAAAAAATCATTCGTAGAATCGCCCTTATCGAAGATTTTATGGATTTTGAGTTTAAAATTTCTGCATCTTCTGAAAATGATGCGAAAATTTGAATTATATTAATCAGTTGAAATTTGAATTTTTGAGAACCGTTAATATTTGAATTTTGGAAAGCCGTTAAAATTTGCATTGTATTTTCCAATCACACCTTTAAATTTTTTTTTTCCACATAATTCAGACTAATTTCCCAACTCAAGTACATGCCTTCTAATTGAAATGAAATTGATTATTTCATCAGACTTAATATCTAAAATCTTGCTCAATCATGATTTCTGCCTAAAGTGAATAATACTGCACGCGCTGCAGTTTTAAAAAACTCGTTACGAAATGCCAGCAAAATGTAAGAAAATGAAGAAATTTCATCAGTCAACGTACGAGTTATAAGCTTTTGTCTCAGAGAGTCTCTTTAAATTGCAAAAAATGTCGCATTCGATGGAATCATTGGTTGATAAAAATAAAGAAAATTGCCAATTTGTAGCTAAATATAGTTCTATAAAGATGATACATAATGGCAATGATGACCCAATTTTTGAAACATACTTTTCTGTATTTGATGCTGTGTTTACCGGGATGATTACATACATATGTGTATAAAATAATCGAACACACATTTTTTTCCCCAGCTCATGACTCAACGAATTTTATTTTTGCTAGATTCTGTTTTTGTGGGGTTTTTTTTTTCAAAGAAAAGAAAGTTATTGTCAGCATTTTGACTATTTTTTTGGAAGGTCAGAGTGCAAAGTTGTTGCATTAAGTGACATGCTTTTTGCTCCAACCAGGGAAAGCTTTTAAAAGTGACTTTCTTCCATAAAAGAATTCGAAAAATAACGATCAAAAAATTCAAAAAATAACGGATACAATTTTTTTGAATTGTTCAAATATTATTAAACAGTTAATTTTTAAAGTTTTTTAACCGTTAAATTTCATAGATCTGATCTTAATAATTCAATCGTAGTTTAATGCGCTTAAATCATCCCACAATCAACACCATAGTCTCTACTACTTTTCCCTATTTTCGTCTTATCGATTTCTACTATCGCAACCAAAACAAAAGTAAATCTCATCCATATGAGATTCCACAATTCCAAAGAAAAGTAGAAAAATAAACTCACCATTTTTCACATTATTATTGACGTTATTGTTGATATTATTATTACTACTAGCTTTTGGAACATTATTTATAGCCGGTGCCACAATGACGTTCGACTTTTGTGATGATGGAGCAAACGGCGATGGTAAATCGGGTGCGACTGATTGCTGGATATTTGGTACATTACGCTGTAAAAATGGATGGTTGAAAAAGACATCAAATGGCATTCGTTCCTTTGCATTGCGACGTAACAGTCCAATAAGAAGACTTTGAAGTTCTTGAGATGTTCCGACCGGGATTCTATGGATGTAAAATAATCATTAGATGCACGTTGCTTTGTATAAGTACAAATGAATGCATGTAAACGTGCACTAGATCTAAAAATAGAACAACAAACTTACTTTGGAGCAAGATTTGCATTTTTCTCGTAGAAATTCTTCAATTCTTGTGGCGTGTGAGCTTGGAATGGTGCTTTTCCCGTAAGACACTGAAAGACGATTGTTCCTAAAGACCAAAGATCAGCTTTTGCATCATACTGCAATGACATAATGACTTCTGGTGCCATATACCTGAAATTGACACATTAATCAGCATTTAAAATGATTTATATACGATTAAGCTTGACTTACATTGGAGATCCACATAAAGTTGCTGCCATGTTCCCGTCTTGTAAAAATCTTGCAAAACCGAAATCTTGAAAATGACAATAAAAAAGGTTAACGCGATTTGTTCAGCATGTAAAGGTCATAACATTTTATTTACCTGCTATTTTCAATGTAATATTTTCTGGTGACGGCAGATTTTTGCCACAATTGTGTGAAAGTAAAATATTTTGAGGCTAAAGTAAGAGAAGAATCATAATTAGCAATTTAAATATTGATTTTTTTTCTTCCTTGTCATGCAAACCTTAAGATCGCGATGTACTATTCCTTTTGCGAAGAGAGCTTTCATGGCACCAGCTGAGAAGAAAATTAAGATGATTAAGAATATTGTAAACAAAAATGATGTTCACAAGTGTTTGTCAGTGAACAATTATTGCGCATTTTTTGCTGGTTTCAATTCGCAAAAGTAATTAATTTAATTAAAATCGTCATTGAAAATTGAACTGGGATTAACGAACTTTTGAGATTTGAATTTTAACGATCTTTTGGGATTTAAACTGTAGCGGTATTGTATGATTTGAATTTTAGCGGTTTTGTAAGATTTGAATTTTAACGGGTTTCAAAAAAGATTCAGCAAACTATAAACCTACATTTATCCTACAAAAATGCACAATAATCCGCCCATAAATCACAATAATCACCTAATTGTATTAGAAATAATCGTATAGTCTCTTCACTAAGCGTTCCTTTGACTGTTAGATAATCTGCAAGATCACCTCCATTGCAATACTAAATTGAGAATGTCAGAAGAGGAAGTAAATGATGAGTAATTTATACAAAAAATACCTGAACGCGACTCGTACATCAAAATGATTATCAAAAACTAATTAAATGATGTACATTTTTTGGATAATCAGTCATGCAATGCACTTACCTCCATGACGAGATACACATTATGCTGCGATTCTTTACAATCAAGTAAAGCCACAACATTCTCATGATGCAATTCTGTGAGCTCCTTGAGTATTTTTATTTCCTTTCCGAGAAGATTTTGTGACTTTGCTAAACTTTTCTTTGTGATACTCTTGATGGCAACCGGAAAATTTGGTTTCTGTTTCAATGAAAATAAGCAACAATAAGAAGTTAGTCTTTTGTGTTATTGAAATTCAATAAGTCACCGCACTAGCGAAATCGATAGTTTTGTCTTTATTGCGTAAAACATGATTATGGCAAATTTTATTGTAGCTGTGACAAAGCGAATCCACAAAAGTAAATTTATGTGTGTTTATTGACTAAAATGTCACACGTAAATTCACGTGCTTGATTGCTGTTAGTCTGGATTTACATTTATTAATTGAGTAGGTTTGCAATATCCATGGTCAAATGAATTAAAAGAAAATAACGAACTTTAAGAAATTTCAAGGTCAGCGAACTTTTGAAATTTGAATGTCAACGAACTTTTGAGGTTTGAATTTTAACGAACTTTTTAAATTTGAGTTTTTAAAAACGTCAAAACAGTTTAATAGAAAATCTTGCAACAGCAATTATTTCAAAATTTGGAAAGACGTTATAATTGTAGAACCTTGCAACAGTAATTTTGTAAACCTCACAACAGCAACTAATTTCAAATTATGACTAGTTCGCTATTCAAGAACCCTACAACAGACAATTTATTAAGAGCTTATTAACTTTACCATAACCGCACACAAAGCACGACTTTATACACAACATTCTTATACTCTCATAAATCGCACAAAACATTCGATTTTCTCCAACATTTTCCATGTTTCCCACACTTCCTTCCGTTCAGCTAGCGAGCCCCAATGTCGGTATGTAAAGAATTTATCCTCAATGAGACTAGTAAAATTCTAATTGAATTATTTTAAATATAGATCCAAAATAGCTGATCGGCATTTAATATTGAAATATTTTTTGAATAGCATTAAAAATGAGGAAGAAAAAATTGCGTAGTACGCGCACAGGCAAAAAAAAGCTTGTATACACGGACTAGCAAACATTATGTATGTACATTCAGTCAGTGACGGGGAGAATATTGATAGGTAGGAAGAGATTATTGAGGCTGAATTAGAACATTTAAGAATCATGTTATCATCTATGACACACAAAATAACCAGTAAATGATAAATCTATAGCTTATATTGCGTCATAATAAGCTAGTGCCTCACATCTACGCTGCTGAATTGAGGAAATCAATTTTTTTCACTTCCTTTTTTCCCATTAAATTATCCAAAAAAAGAAAATTTCTTTTTCCACACTAATTACCTTCTTGTGACGCCCACGAAACACAACGGCAAATGCTCCATGCCCTATTAATTCCTTTGGATTATATTCAAAGTCACCAACTATCTCCATAATGACTTTATTTCACTTTTATTTATTTTAACTTTATTTCTTTTATTTTTCTTTTGTGTCCGTTCATAAGAAATTCTTCACTGTTCTCATTTCACTATAATTAATTCACTAGTCACTTTTATTTCACTGTATTACAGCACTAAATATTGTTTTCTGGATGTTTTGAAACTTAAAAATTATTAGAAATCTCTGAAAAATTAAAAAAGAAAATTTCTGCTGTAAATTGTAATCTGTAGAAAATTTGCGAGTTGAGGAACTGACTGTGTTGTGAATGAAATCGCTTTATGTCTTGCTGGATTGAAGGGTACGAGATACAGAAATTATTTACTTTTCTGTTTTTTGATGTTTTTCTTCGTTATCAATCAATGATTTTGTGCTGATTCATATTTATCTTGTAAATATTGATTAACTGAAAGTGTTGAGCTGCTTAACGAACTTTGGGAATGCTTAATTAAAGTGAATTGTGATTATTTACAAACTTTTTGGCAATCAAACTTTTGCGTCACTTTTTCGCATCTTTTGACATTCAAATAATTTTTCACCGTTGAGATATTTTTCATAATTCAAATTTTCTCCAAAGCATGTTCAACGGTTTTTGATAAACTTTAATAATTGAAAGAAAGTAGAAATTGAGGAAATAAATTATTGAAGAGTCATAGAGTCATTAATTGAAGTTGAATTAGTTTGGTAATCTACGTCCATGCTCTCATAAATTGAATTACTTCTCTAAAAAATTAATCATTGGGTAAATTCATTCATCCGAATCATTACATACAAAGTATAGAGATAAATAAAAGGTAGATTTGCTACCGCATGATTTTGTTTTTTTGGTGGCACACAATTTTGTCTCAGCTAGATGAATTTTTATATAAGAGTGGCTGAAACGAATTTTTAGAAAGAAATTAAATTGGTGAAATCACACTTGTTACTTGTATGATTTGTTGCTTTTCTATTTTTAACTGCACATAAAAAATTGAGATTTAACAATTTCATACATATTATGACTTTTCTTGTACTCAACATGGAATTAATCTCAATCACGTAGCTCGCGTGAATAATCGTCTAAAGTCAGAATTAAGAGCGATTTTAGGTGATGAAAATAAAGTTTGGAGGCTTGCCGTTTTAAATATTCTTGTTGGACATTGACATTTTTTGAAAAGAACTTAGTGAAATTTAGCGTATTTTAAAAAATTGAATTTTAGCGAGTTTCAAAAATTCAAAGAAGTTTCTCAAAAAATTCAAATTTTTGAAGGCTGTTTAAATTTAAATTTTTGAAAGCAGTTAAAGCTCAAATCTTTAATTTTTAAAATTCCCATTTATTTCCAACAAGTCTAACGGAGAAAATTAAAACTATTCCATTACGAATGAGTCAGCACAATAATTTAGCTTAATGAAGAAGCTAAGAGAGATTAATCATCAAGGTATTTAAATGAGGAAAAACATTTTCTATCATGAAGCATCGTTTAATTCGTTACAGTTAATGCATCTGTCCATGATTGCGTAAATATCTCCAAAAAACACTGTCTTGATCAAACTTTGCAATGCCTGAATTATATGCGTCGTATCATATAAAAAAAATGTAAAACATATTCCGTGCATGAAACAAATTAAGACAATAATAAAATAATAATTTCTCAAATCATAATAATAACAATTGTAATGTGCCATGTGCACTTAGCAGTCATACTACATATGTAAGGCGCTAAAATTATCAAAATCAACTGTCTTATGCATGTAATTACTCAATTCCGTTTTTCATGAAAAAAGAAAATTGTTAAAAAAAATTTAATTTCTTTCATAATTCTTCTTATTCTTTCGCGTTGTGTAAGAGATGACCATGAAAATGAAAAGATTGGCTTTGATTGCTCATTTTTTTGTGTGTGTATGTATTCGATGGAGGCTTGAAGCTTGACGTAAGTACTGATGCGGCTTGGAATTGATGAGTATAGCGCGCAGATTTACAGTGTTTAAAACAAATATAATAACGATTGTAAAAAATTCAAAAAATGACGATATTAAAAAACTCAAAAACGTTTTTTAAAAATTACGTTCAAAACGCATTCATGACACAATAATAACTCATCAAAGACACATCCAAACACCATTCCAAGACATACTGGGGGTCCTCGATTTGAGTAGTTGTTTTGTTCCAAAAAATTTCTATTCAAATCGAATCTATTCAAATCGAGGCAAAGAATACATACAAAATTACATGTTTTGTTCCAGAGTCCAAAAAATGAATCAAAACAATGAAAATCTTGATCATTTTTTGCACATTTTACCTCGTTTTTTAACTTTTCCTATGTGTTTTAGACAAATTAATTTATTTCAACGCATATTCATATTGTTTTTAAACGGAAATTCACAAAAAAAATGTTTTTGAAACAAAACAAAAATATGAGAACCTTGCAAATGTTATTTCACTGAACAATTTGTAAGGTTTTTGAATTTGAACTTTTTAAAATCGTTGATTTTATATCGATTTTTTAAATTTTTACTTTAATTTTGTAACTTTAGTATTGATTTTTCTATCAATATGATAAGTTCACGCTTATCGCAGTAAAATGTATGTTTTAAAATTATTTTCTGAAATGTTTTTATCAAAAATATTTGTTTTGTAAACAATTCAAATCGAAGAAAACAGGAAGAAATCTACTCAAATCGAATATTTTGGTGGGTAATAAATTTTCTGTTCAAATCGAATCTACTCAAATAGAATCTACTCAAATCGAGGACCCCCAGTAATTACAATTCATGAATCACAAATCTAAGACACAATCACAACTCATCTAAGACACATTCAAAACTATTCAAATTTAAATTATCCGTTTGAAAAAATCAAATTTCACTTTTAACTCTCACAAAATTCTTCATCTTCTTGAGGAAATCACACATAAGCCTCAAGCGGCTTCAAGCATATTAAAAACAAAGTGAATGTAATAGACATTTACATTTCCCCCCGAAAATCTCGCTTAAAAGAGAGGTAAATGACTACATGTGGCTTAGCTGCGATGTACTTACGTCACACAACAATAAATTGTAATTTACCAGAAAAAGCAAGAGTAATAAATTCAAGTGATTTAACTTAATTTCAATCAGTCTCTCAGTGAATTTTCTCGGTGGTACTTGTGTTGTGCAGTTTGTTGGTGTCTAAAAAATATTTAATATAAAAATAATAATAATGAGTGATTTAGAAAAGGTGTGCATATTTTTCATATTTCTTTGCTATATCAAACAGTGCTAATGCAAAAAACACAGAGCATAATGCTTTGAATGGAGAGAATATTAGTCGTGACACAGTGATCTCGATAATTCAATACTAAGGGGTTCTCGATTCAAATAAGTGTATTATAAGCAATTATAAGTGTAATAAAGATGAAATCAATTTAGTTTGAAACGTGACCCCCGCCTAGTGTTATCCAATATTCCAAAAGACTCTATCATAAACCTCCAACTTTAAAATTCCCATTAAAACAAAACTATTAAAGATGTAGACCCCCAAAAAATTAAAAACCTTACCTCCTAAACGTGATTGTGTCGTTCAATATTCCAAAAAACCTATTCTAAACATCCGATTCAAAAATTTCTCCAAACACTAAAATTATTAAAGAAATGGACCCCCCAAAAATTAATAAAATTTTTTTTCTCATTCTTGATTACGATTAGTATCAAGCTAAAAGCACAACTGAAGTTGATGAATACAAGTGTACATTGAGTGATGAGTTGAGAAAACTTGCAGAATCGGAATTGCGCGAAACGGACGAAGTCCGTAGTCATGGAATTAAGGCAATGCGCGATTGGATTTTGGATAATCCAAGAATTATAAAATGTCGAATGGATTCATCTTGGCTACTCAGATTCTTGAGATTCCGTAAATTCAGCATTCCAATGGCACAAGAGGCTCTCGAACGTTACTTGATTTTCCGAGAGGGACTTTACGGCTACGATTGGTTCTCAAACTTAGATTTCAACCGTCCAAACTTGGTTGATTTACTTGATAAAGGTGTCATCATTCCACTTCCGAATCGTGACAAAAATGGTCGTCAAGTTCTTATGTACCGCTTGGCTGGTGTCGATCCATCAATCCCTGACATTGGCAACACCTTTTTGACTTTATCGACTTTGTTCTTTGAATCACTTTTGGACATTGAGGAGAATCAAATACGTGGAATTAATTACATGGGTGACGTCACAGGACTTCAATTAGGTCACGTTAATATAATTCCACTTGAAACGTGCTATAAATTTGGTAAAAACATCGAGGTAAATAAAAACAAAATTTATTGAAGGTCAATTAAGCGAATTAATGATCCGGTATAAAATTGTATTACAGAAAACTTGTGCGGCTAGGCATAAAGGCTTTCACATTGTAAATATGCCATCAACTGTTCAATACATTGCCAATTTCGCTCTTAAGCACATGCCTGATAAGCTCAGAGAACGTGTCAGCTTCTGTAGCACCATTGAGGAAGTCGATTGTGTTGAGAAGAAAAATTTACCAAAGGAATATGGCGGTGAGGTGTCAATGGAAGATATGATCAGTAAGTATTCTTTTTTAATGACTGTTTTAAAAAATAACAAATTTTGCTTAACTTTTCGCATCACCTCTGCCACTTTTACTACAAACAAAAATCATAACCGCTTAATTAAAGCATTAAACGCTTGAAAAGCTGGCATTTCGGCAGCCTCGATGATATAATCAACAATAGTTTTACCAAGTTTTACGTAAATTAATCACACAAAATTTCTATTTCTATTTACAGAGCCATGGAAAGAGACGCTCAACGCCAAAAAGCAATTTTTCTTAGACTACAGCAAAATGCAAGTAAACCAAAAGTTATATCCACAACAAGTACTCAAATGTGTTGTATCAGCACTAAAGATAAATCTCAACTCGTCGGATATGTTTGAGCAAGCCAGCAATTGTAGTGAGGAAGATCTCAGTGGACTTCAAGGAAGTTTCCGTAAACTTGAAATTGATTAAAAGTAAACAAAACATTACATCTGTTTAAGGTCAATGCGATCATGCGTCGTATCTGTAACATATTGTAGCATGTGTCAATGCAGCTCATCTAAAGATTTTATTATGTGATATTATTTTGTTTTGCTCACATATTAATCTATAACTAGAGTAATGTGTTAATTGCACCAAACTTTAATTATATTCACAATGATTGCTCACTCTGTCCAAAAATTAATTTAAGGCACACGCAGGCTAGACAAGTCATAGACTGTTATTTTTTTTATACTCTTTTATGTGGTTGACAAGTTTTACTTTAGTAGTGTTAAATTTTTGGATGTATCTTGCATATTAGTAAATAAAAAAAAAATTGGAAGATCTGCCTTTAAAATCACAAAGGAAACAAGTTCTTCTAAATAAAAACAAAATTTCGCACATTTTATTTGAATTGATGCTGCAAAGAGCTCTTCAGAATCGTTTTTACTTTCGTCGGGATCAGATCAGCTCATTTTTCAGTCAAGCCTCGTTTGATTTGTGACACAAAGTGATAAATTAAGTAAGATCATGGTCAGAATATTAGAAAAGGTGAGTAAACTTTCAGCCATTGAAAGTTCACGTGTTTTTAACAATGAATTGAAGTTAATTGTTTACGTTGTGTCTCCAAATTATTGTCCAATTACTAAGTATGTGTAAAGATTTTTAAATATTGCAAATCATGCTTGATTGATTTAGACCTAAAAGGTGAGTCACATTAAAAGCATAACAATAATGTTTGGATATGACAGGACAGTCTGTTTTCTATGTACCGGAACCAATTATTGAAGGGTTATTGTACATCGAACTTGTTTTGTGTTTGCATTGAGCTGTCCAAAAAGGATTGTGCTGAATCATTTATTTTTACTTAATTCGAAGAAGTTCTTTAAATAAACCAGAATGCTTTAATATTTGAGTTTAGTGCAATGTCATGTTGACTGTAAGCTTTTTATCAGCATCTTTACTTAATTATATTCAAAACGCTTTGCGAGGTTGAACGAAAGACTTGTTCGATATTTAAGGAAATTGTGGTGTTTTTTATTACTAAGTGGGAATCAATTCTAATTTTTGAAAACAGAAGCTTCAAAGATTTGTATGATCAACCTTTAAATTCTTCATAATTCTTAAACTTTTAAGTACAGATCAAGCTTGTTGTTCATTAGAATCTGTTTTAACTTTCAATGATCAAGGGCCAGTTTCAAAGTCTAGCCGAGGTACCCGAGTCTCATGAGTGAAAGTTAATACAGATCCTAATAAACAATGAGATAGATTAGTGCTTGATGAAACAAAGAATTTAAAGCTCAGATCTAGAATTCTAGAGCAACCATAAGTAAGAAATGCATTTTAACGTACTACAATGCTGGGTATACAATGATAGTTGTCTGACCTATGCCAAAGGTTGAAGACCAATTTATCTCTGTATATTTGGAATCAAACATCTCAATTGATGATCATCAATTATGAACAGATCTCTAATCAAAGCATAAGATCCCAAACTCAGGGGCGTAGCCATGGGGGGCCCGGGCCCCCCCTACGAAAATCTGATAATTGTTTTATTAAGGATTTATAAAGAAGAACCAGTTAATGTAGAGGAAGTGATGAAAGAAATGTCAAAATCAGCACGAAAAATTAAATTTACTATAATGAATAATGAATTAAATATTTAAACTTATGAAGAATGAATATAGATTTAAGGATACAAAAAAACGGTTTTTTAATTTTCGAAAATGGGCCCCCCCCCCATAAAAATTTTCTGACTACGCCCCTGCCCAAACTAGTAAATTATCATGCTTCTTTCGAAAATATAAAATAACTTTGATAACGTGACTTGTTTGCAATTTCACCGTGATTTTTATGCCTTCCTCAAAACCAAATCTACTCATGCAAGGACATTTACAGAAGATAAAGTTATCACAATGAAATTTACTGACTTTATCGAATCAAAATAGTCTAAATATCACCAAATAAAATATATTTGCCATGAAAGCATTCAAGTTCAATGTGGAAACAAGTTCTTTCTTCCGTTTCTTATCGCTCGCTATAAAAGATTTTGCATAAAAAATAAGGCAAAAAAGATTCGCGAAGGTCACCAAAAATCAAGATTTTTATAATTTATTCTTAAATATTCGCAAACATTCATGATTTTTTTTTTTATATCATTAAGAGATTGTTTTCTGCTCATCGTCGAGGATTGGGAGTTGTTTATTAATGATCATTCAAGTTTTAGATATAGAGTGGGGTCTAGGACGATGTAGTCATAGAAGAAGGGTGTGACGTACAGAGTTTGGTTTACTCCCTGACTGTGAGTCACTTCAAACAAAGAATTAAGTTACAGAGGTGAAGGTAGAGCCAAGCAAATCTCAACATTTAATAGACGACATTCATAAACGACCCCAAAATCACTTAAAAACCCGCAAATCTCAAATCTTAAATCTTAAATCCTGTTCTTCAATTCCTTTTACTTTTATATTATTTCTAGTATCAATCTAAAAGCATCACACCAGTCGATGATTATGAATGCAAGCTTAGCGATGAATTAATTAAGGCAGCAAATGATTTGCTCGGCGAGACACCAGAAATCCGCGATGAATGCTTAACAGAGTTTCGAGAATGGATCTGGAATAATCCAAGGATTGAAAAATGTCGAATGGATTCGATGTTTCTTTTGCGGTTCCTTAGAATCAATAGATTTTCAATGCAGCATGCAAAGGAGTGTTTCGAGAGATATTTGATATTCAGAGAAGGCTTATATGGATGCGATTGGTTTACAAATTTGGATTTGAATCGTCCGGGTTTATCACAAGTTCTCAATGATGGCTTATATGTCGTACTTCCGACTAAAGCCAAAACTGGCGAAACTATAGTTTTGGTCAGATGTGGAGCTTCAAATCCGAGCGATAAAGATGCCGGAAATATTGCCTTTTGTGTTTCAACATTGGTGATGGAAACTGTTTTTGAGGACGAAGAAAATCAAATCAGAGGATATAGGCTGATTTTGGACATGTCAAAAGTTAAATTGAGTCACTATTTTATGTTCAATTTCAGCACTTGGTTTAGGATTTTGAAGCATGTTGAGAGAACTTTCACTGGTCGACATATTAGTTGTAGTATTATGGGATTAAATCCAGCAACGAGATTCATTTCAAATATGATTATTAAGCATATGAGAGAAAAGATGAGGAAGGTTGTATCGTGCCCTTCTTGTCCAAAGGAACTCGATTTTCTTGACATAAAATATCTACCGACTGATTTAGGTGGTGAATATACAGTTGAGCAGTTGATGGGTAAGGTTTCAAAAAAAAAAAATAAATTTTCAATTTTTAACGATTTTTAAAAATTCAAATTTTAACGTATTTTAAAAATTTGAATTTTCACGTTTTTTAAAAAATTGCAAAATTAAAGGAGAATAAAAAATTGCATTTTAAAATTAACATTCCCAACCTAATCAATTCCAATTGCAGAGCCACTCAAAAAGAAATTGAAGCTATGGAGAGATTTGTTCTTAAAATACGGTGAAATGAAAGTCAATCGAAAATACTACACCGATGCAGTTCTAAAATGTGATGCAGGGACTCTTACCCATAAATTGGAAAACAAAAGTGCCAAGTTGCTCACAGTATATCCAGATGAAAATGAAAATAACTAGATAACTAGATTAGAAACAATGTTGACTTTAAGTTTAAAAAATTTTGTTACTTTTAGATTGTTTTACTTTGACGGAATTTTGCATGTATTTAAAACAAATTTTGATTCTTAATTTTTGTGTATTCGATGCTTTTTAAACGAGAAATAAATAAACAATTCAAAATATAACAGTATTTAAAAAATCCATATTAAGTGTTTTTAGAAATTTGATTATTTCAGGTTTTACAAAAAGTTGAAGTTTAATGGATTTCAAAATTTCAATTTTTAATTAGCTTCAAAAAATTTAAAATTTTCTTCTTTTCTACTAATTCTCCAGATTTAAACATTTTAATCCAACACGATTAAATTTTCAATTTGTTATATTCACACCGTTTTCACGTGTGAATCTATTGGTTTTGTTCAGATTGAAAAATCAGTTTTTCGCATTTTGTGAGAAAACAAAGCAAAATTGGTTATAAAAGGTCACAGAAGAAAAGTTTGTGCCTAAAATTTTACATCATTTTCAAAAAACAGATTTCAAATTGGTTGTGGCATTGCTGAGAAAATCGCAAAATACGCTTTCTGTAAGCAAACAAGCAAGCAAGCAAGTTAATCAGCAAGAAATCTCAATAACGAGACATTGTAGAGACATCTAGTTTTTTACATTTGATCCGTGCTGCTCTATAGAAGAGCTGTATTGTTTTTGGGCAAGGTAGGAACAGCCGTTGCTTCAGAAAAAGCAAAAAACTTTCCTTTCTTACGAATTTTTCAAATTAAAAGTTCACTGTGATTTTTTTTTATTTTAAAATAAACTTTAGATGAAAAAAATTTTTTTGAGCAAAGAACCAAGAAGGAAATGCAATTTCAATTTTGGACTAGGGGCGACCCTAGTCAAAATCAATTTTGTCACTTTTTTCTTCGAGGGTTTATAAAAATGGATTGAAACTTTGCATAAATATTCTAGTGCTTAAAACAAATGCAAATAAAACATTCAATAATTTTTTTGAGCAAAGAACCAAGTAGGAAATACATTTTCAATTTTGGACTAGGGGCGACCCTAGTCAAAATCAATTTTGTCACTTTTTTCTTCGAGGGTTTATAAAAATAGATTGAAACTTTGCATAAATATTCTAGTGCTTAAAACAAATGCAAATAAAACATTCAATAATTTTTTTGAGCAAAGAACCAAGTAGGAAATACATTTTCAATTATGAACTTGGGACAGGTCTAGTCAAAATCTAGTTTTTCACTTTTTTTCTTCGAAGGTTTATCCAATTACAGTGAAACTTTGTGTGAGTATACTAATATTTATACAAAACAATTTTAAATATCTAAAGCAAGAAATCTATTCTATATGTCGTCAGACCCAAATTTTATAAATTTGGTTGTACATTCAAAAACAACGTGACTTAAAATTTTGTCCAAAAAAATGATTTTTATTAATTCAGAAATGTGTGACCTGAAAATTAGAATGCTCATACAAAGTTTTACTGTATTTGGATTTATCCTCGAAGAAAAAAGTGAAAAACTAGATTTTGACTAGACCTGTCCCAAGTTCATAATTGAAAATGTATTTCCTACTTTGTTCTTTGCTCAAAAAATTTTAGAATGTTTTATTTGTATTTGTTTTAAGCACTAAAATATTTATGCAAAGCTTTAATCCATTTGGATAAACCCTCGAAGAAAAAAGTGACAAAATTGATTTTGACTAGGGTCGCCCCTAGTCCAAAACTGAAAATTGATTTTCTATGGTGTACTTTTGTCAAAAAAAATTTTTTGGATGTTTTATTTGAATTGACATAAATTACATACCAATATTACTTTTTGTAATGCATAGCTTAAAAAAAAATCGAAATCTAAAATTTCGACTACCCCATCTGAATTTTGTTCATACTCTTCACTGTGGAAACCAAAAAACCAATTCTTTATCTTAAAACACTTGACAAAATAGCGACATAATTCAGGATTAATTACTTTTTAATAATATTTTAACATTTATGACATAAATTAGGTATAACTAGGTACTGGGGGTCCTCGATTTGAGTAGTTGTTTTGTTCCAAAAAATTTCTACTCAAATCGAATCTATTCAAATCGAGGCAAAGAATCCATACAAAATCACATGTTTTGTTCCAGAGTCCAAAAAATGTATCAAAACAAAGAAAATTTTGATAATTTTTTGCACATTTTACCTCGTTTCTTAGCTTTTCCTATGTGTTTTTGATACCTTAATTTATTTCAACGCATATTCATATTGTTTTTAAACAGAAATTCACAAAAAATATGTTTTTGAAACAAAACAAAAATATGAGAGCTTTGCAAATGTTATTTCACCGAACAATTTGTAGGGTTTTTGAATTTGAACTTTTTAAAACCGTTAATTTTATATCGATTTTTTAAATTTTTACTTTAATTTTGTAATTTTAGTATTGATTTTTCGATCAATATGATAAGTTCACGCTTATTGCAGTAAAATTTATGTTTTAAAAATATTTTCTGAAATGTTTTTATCAAAAATATTTGTTTTGTAAACAATTCAAATCGAAGAAAACAGGAAGAAATCTACTCAAATCGAATATTTTGGTAGGTAAAAAAATTTCTGTTCAAATCGAATCTACTCAAATAGAATCTACTCAAATCGAGGACCCCCAGTATAACTGTCGATATGGGTCTCGGCCTTTACTTCACGCCCACCCTTCAACCTTATGCTGAGCAAATCTTGGTCTATCCATATGTATTTTGATGGTACGGTGTGAATATATCCGCATTGGGTTTCTACCCGATATACTAGTTTGTTTCAACGGTTTTATAAAAATTTGAATTAAAAGTGAATTCAGCGCAGTTTCGTGGTTGATTTACCCTGTCTATATTTTAAATTAAATTTTAAGGCTTAATTAAGCCAGTTATTGAAAATTTGATCATTTAGAACTACTTAATGAATCATAGCCATTTAGATTTTCACAATCAAAAGCTATAAAGCCATCAAAACTTTCACATTCATAACGGTCGATAAAAATTCAAAAATTTCATTTCAGTCAAATTTCATTGGCAGGAAAGTTTATTGTTTATTTGAATTTAAAATTAATTAAAGAATGTTTAACTAGCAATAAGTATCTTAAGTTTTACCCTAAACCAGTCCTAATGCTGTGATTTTGTTGGAATTATTTCAAGTTACACCATTTCAATGTATTTCAAGAGATTAATTATAATAATAACGTAAACAGACGAAAAAAAGAAAAATAATTTCATAATGGAATTCAATCAAAATAAAGAGTTACTAAGCAACACATTGGCATTGAATGTTGCTTTACAAACGATAAAGGAACGATGTGTACATCTTCAGAAACGCTTATATGCACTGGAATCGGAAAATTCACGATTGCGACTTAATTCCGTATCAAGCGGTGACAAATTGAGTGAATCACGCAAAGATAACTCATTGATATCGGAACTAGAAAGCTTGCGTGCTAAAAATGCTGAGCTAACTTTGCAAAAGAGTCAATTGACAGAAAACTTGTCTATGATATCGACCGAGAATCGTAAACTTTGGAAGCGATTAAGTCACTTAACGAAAGAAAACATTACCGAAGCTGATCTCACAAAGGATGAAGCAATAGATGATGATCATTTGGGTGCAAAACATGCTAATTTAATTAGATCTAAAACATTTACACAAAATTCACCGCATCAATTGTTGCGTGAGAGAATTGCAGGCAAAAACATTGGTCCAGATCATGATGATAATGATCTTGAGGATATCTCGTTAATTAATGACTGTACATTTACAGCAAGTACTGATAAGTTCAGTAGCGATATTAGTGATTCTGTTGAGATTGAGACGAGATCATGTGCTGAAGGATTGCTCAATATCAAAAAGGAAATACTTAAACAGAATAGCGATTTGAAAGTAGCTTTAAGTAACTGGAGAAAGCTTAAAAGTAAGCAGACTGAACTTACATTAATTAACAAAATAATAATAATTTCGATAATTTTCAGATTCAGATTTTTGTTCATGTAAAACATCGTCAAAAACAAGCGAGACTAGTAAGAAGCCGCAAATGAGTGATAAAATGGTCATGACAGAGCGTGATTTAACATTAGAGTTTCTCGTTGACCAGGATCCAGCGAGTAATTTTGAAACTGTTAAACAAGAAACAACAGTTCTGGCTGACCTCATTGAAAAGAAAAAGGTAGCCGATTTGGCAGAGAAGGTAATTTTCTATAATTATTTTGATGCAGCCTTAGAAGAGCTGCAGTTTTGGTTTTAAACGGATAATTTGAATTTAAATTTTTTGAAACATTTGTAGGGTTTCTTGGATTTTTGATCTAATTTGTAAGGTTCTAAAGAAATTTAAATCAAATTTTACCGCTAGAATTTTAACTTACCTGGTTTTGATTTGATTTCCTTTCTATTTTAGATTTGCCCAATGTGTGGAAAGTTCTACGCCCAAAATATTTTATTCGAGGAGTTTCTTCAGCACGTTGAATCACATTTCATGGACAGTGATATTGAACAGCTCAGCTTGGACCACAATTTTGAATTAGTATCACATTCTGTTGGAAACTTTTAAGTTTAATTGACTGCAGCAACCTTCAGTTCGATTTCTTGACTACTTTATTACTCTTCAATTGATTAATTAGTTTAAAAATAATTTTGTTATTCATACTTGACTATGTTTAATGCTTCCATACGAATTAGTAAGTATTTATAGAATAAATTGAACATATTCAACCGATATTTGATGGCTTTCCTACTATTGTGGAACTAATATCCAGCTCTTTTGTTTCAGCATTTGGTTGTGTTGATTTTTGCATTAGATTCTTGCTAAACCATTGTGGACGAGCCTTTTCCATCTCTACAATTCGCTTGCCATTCCAAAATTCTGGTGATTGTTGAGCCTTCTCTCCATCATACAGTACAACGACTTCCTTGTCTACTGGATCTAATTTTAATTCCTTAATGATCTTCTCCTTAATTTCATTCGTCTCGTCTTTGATCTTTGCATAACAATTAGGACATAGGCAATCTCTCTCATGATAATGTCCACAAGCGTTACAGACTTTAATGTAAGGCTTCTTTTGTAATGTTTTTAAACCTTCAGGTCCTCCACGATAAGGAATTCCAATTTTCCTTGTTTTCCTTACTTCTAGTGTTCTTCTAAACACCGGAACTGCAAAGAGGAATCCATCGCCTATTAAATCCTTTAATGAGAATGGTTGTTTTGATGGAACTTCTGGATGTTGATTTGCTAAAACTGTCAGTGGCTCTAAAATGTTGAAAAAAATACTTTTAAGCTGTTATTTCTTAATGACTCGATGATCTCACCTGGTGGAAATGGATAACGACCAAAAAGTGATGGAATTATGTTCTCTGCTTGTCTTAGAATCACTGCAATTTCACTAATTAATCTATTCATTTTGTTTATATTTTTTAAGCTAGCTCAACATAACCTTATCACCAACACTAATGCAATCTAGAATTTACAAATAATTAAGTTGGAATGAATTGGAACCAATGATATTAAAGTACATGAAATTCTTTTCATTTTGGCTTGTATAATTGTTTTAATTAGAGTATGAATAAGCCAGAAATAAAAGAAAAACAATTTCTTTTAACGAACTTTTCAGATTTGAATGAAAAAGTATGTATGTATTGGTGAATTGAAGCGAAAAAATCTGTTCAACCTTCGTGTAATATTATTTCCCCTACGTTTTTCAGAATAAATGAATTTTTATTAATTCTTACATTTGTTTCCATTGATATTGATATTTGCTGTTGCAACAGTACACAGTTTACAAAAAGGATTATTTTGATACACTAACCATGAATATTCGTGGCAAAGTTAAAGATAAAATGTCACTTTTGTTCAGAATGATGAAAACTTTTGAGAAATATCGAAATTATGCTCTTAAGATTCCTTTGATTTTGATAATATTTTCATTTGATAATTTTAAATTGAACTTTACTTGTGTTTTCATTGATCCAAGCTAGTAAATTGACATAGAAAGATAATAAATTTTACTTTTTCTGACAATCTTTTGTAACGGATATATTATTTTCAAAATACATTCCCCTCAATCCTACGGTTTGTTTACAAAATTCAAAAAACGATAAAACCAAAAATCTTGAAAAACTTATTAAATTAGCCAAAAATCAAGCTCAAAAATGAATCACAGAATAAAACATAAATTGTAGCATGCATTTAAAATGCAAAATTCAACAGTTAAAATCGGTTTGAGTGTAAAAACTGATTTAATAATCAATAAAAATTCAAAACCCAAAAGTGACATAAAAAAGGATGTGAATAATTCAAACTTTAAGAATTCGTTATCAGTTAAAGCGCTTTTACTTTCGACCACGTGAACTTTCGAACTTGTTTACAATCAGAATGTAAATAAAGAAAATTGCATAAGAACGTGAAAAATTCAAAAAAGTGAATTTAAAGACATTGTCAGTGACCAAAAGTGCTACATATATAATACATAAGTGCCCAACAGTCGTGCAGACCTGCAACATTTGTTCGTGTGTTTTTCTTTCATCCCTACCAAATAAAAAAAAATATTTTTTAAGTTTTGTAAACTTAAGAAAAAATGTTATCGCGCTAGTCATTTCAGAAACAATTTGATCATCATGAGCGTAAGTTCGAATCGGGCTTCTAATTGCGCCCGTCGTTTGGTGCAAGAAAAATTGTGCAATTTGTTGTTCAATAACAATCAAAAATGTATTACGGTGAAAAGACATTTCGGTTCATCTTTATTACCGCAAACAACATCCAATTCATTTATGAAGATTTATCAAGGCAACAATAAATTTGGAACTTTTATTAACAGCATCCGACATAGTCAGGTGAGTTGTCATTTGTCCAAAGTTTGTCAAATTTAAGTTTTTTTCATATCAATTGCATAACAAATGAGGCAAAATTCTTTTTTGTTCCGCGCGTTTTGTGCTATATACTATTGTGTGATGTGATACACTATGGATATTTAAAATAAAAGTTAATAATTTCTCAATCAAAAAAATAAAATAAGATTTAAAGAGAAATGGAACTGAACTGATGAACTGATAATGATGATGATTTTTTTTTTGTGTGGATATAACGTGATTAAGTGAACAGTTACAAAATATAAAAAATGTTAAAAAAAATATACAGCAATCAATTAAATCAATTAGCAGTAAAAGAAAGAAAATAATAACAATTACACACATTTAAGGCAGTAAAAAAATGGAAAATTTCTTCGAAAAATTTCTCTCGTCTTCAAAATGCTGCGAAACATGATTTTTCTATATGCAAGGAGAAAGATACATCTATGTGGAACATTCAATAATGGATTGATGTGCAAAAAAAAAACATTATATGCTATTTAATTAGTTCTCTCGAAAAAAAAAAAAATGTTAAAAATTGAAAATATCAAGCATAAGTTGGATTGGGGTCGATTGGATGTGATGTGCATTGTTTTGAGTATCTGTGGTCTATAATAATAATTCAAAAGGACTCTGGTGCATCAAATGAGTATTTAACTGTGATCCTGTTCATACTCAAATTATAGCTAGTCGCAGCTGATTGCTGCTAGTTCCTCAGTTTTAGAGTCTTCTGAACTATAACACACTCCCGTAAATGTCAAGCAATTATATTCATAAAGTTCTAAAACTTTAATATCCCTAAAAAAAATTTCATATATCCAAAAATCGAGCACCAATTCGGGTCCAGTGCTTCATTCATATTACATCTATATACATACATCCACTTTTTTTTTCGAAAATTTCTTTTCTTTTCACTGACCGTAATATGGGAATTCGATGTGTGTATTTAGCTCTGACTCTTTTTTTATGATATATCGAGCCTTTCACTTTTATAAGTATACACACAACATACCAAAAAGCCAAAGCTTCAACCGAAAAAAAAATGAAATTTTCGACTTTTAAACAACACAAAAAATTGCCGCATTCGTATCATCACTTGGGTGCTTCTTTTATTCGCTATCATTGCGCTTCTACCTAACATCCCAGTCAAAGTAATTTATATTTCAACTACTTTACCATTTTATTTATTGTACAAAACGAAAATAACAGCAATGAAATCATTGTTCACAGTTGCTAGGCTTTTTTCTCTATCTATCTATAAAGTCAGCAACGTTAAAGTGAAGAAATTGAAGAAGTAAAAAGTGCTGTTGCTGAGTGGAATGAAGGAAGGAAAAAGAAAAGAAAGAAATGAAATGTAGAACGCGGGCCACTAAGCGAGAGTTGAAGCAAGCAAGTTTACCGTGTGCTGTGCGTATTGATCTGCTTACGTACCGCTCTTTCTCTCTCACATGCTCATTAATGAAATGAAAAGAAGAAAGATTGAGTTTCTTAATAAAAATTATTCAAATTTTTTTTTTATCTCAATTTCGGATATTTCTTGTTTCCTATATCTGGTCGAAGTCTATTGATTTCATATTTTCATTTTCTTGTGTTTCATCAATAACAAAAAAATCTTTAGCTTTTTTATGATTTGACCAATTCTCTTCGGCAGAGTTGGGTGTCTGAATTGGATTTTCGGGAATTTGAGGAATTTAAAATTTTACAAAAATGAAGCGAAATTGAGACTTGATTGAAAAATTTACGCACTTTTTTGCATCTTTGATAGTTTTTTAAGTCAAATATTGCATTTACTGATGAAAAAAAAAATTTTAAATTTCTAACGCTTCAAAGCAATTTTTGAACACCAAATGATGCAAAAATATTTCTAAAAACCCAATTGAAGCAAAAATATTTCTGAACATTAAATTGATGCAAAATAAACTCTTAACACTTAAATAATGCAAAAAGACCCGTTCAAATTAATTTTCAGCTCTTAAAAGTTTTTTGGTGCAAAATAAATGCATTTATTTCTGCGCAAATTTTAAATTTTTAAAAAACCTATTTGAGAAAAAAACGGAATATTTAAAAAGTCAAAATTAATTTCAAGGATTCAGAACTGATAAACAGGTTTTGATCATTTTGATCAGTCCCACGTCCTTGATTTAATTTTAAAAGTTTTCAGACGCATAATTAAAATATTTTCAAAGTCAATAAAATTATTCTTTGCAAGGATTAATAAAAAACAAACTTGAAAGCAATGAAAGTAAAAAGGTTCAATTGTAAAAAAAATCGGATTTAAGCCAAAAAAAAAATTTTAAAACAAACTCTAATCAACTTATTTGCGCAAAAAAATTAAAATTTTTCAAAATCTTGTTTTGACTCAACAGAATGAAATATTCAATGTCAGACCACCCTTATCATAAGCTATGTCAATAAATTCCAGCAGCAACTCTGCTCTTAAGTATTCGTCAAACATAGTTATCGTGAAAGAGATGGAAGACAACATTTTCATATATTTTTTATGAAAAATATATAGTCTTGAATGAGTTGAGAGAAAAAAAAATATTTATAATAAAAAAGCAGCTTCACACACATGGACAGTTCGCTATCGATTAAAGTAGGTTACAAATTCTTGAAATACGAAAAAAAAATCGTAAACGACCAAATATATGAATACTATTTATATGTATAAATTTCAATATTTGTTATAAAGCTTTCCTTGTTTTCATTATTGCGACTTTCTCAATTCATTGGCTATTGCTTGCTTGCTTCTTTTTTTCTTCTTCTGTTAAAGAAAAAAAAATTAAAACATACCAAACGATATGTATTATGCATAGTGTAAAGTATGTGCTTTTCTACATTTTTTTCGCCTCTCTTTGTCACTTTCTTTAAAAATCTTTCATTTCATATTTTTTTTTTTATTTTGGGGAAGCAAGTTTTAATAACTTGTGATTATTACATTTCTTCTGCTGTAAGTTTTTAACACTTACATAAAAAGCTCTCTCTTTTTTTCGCATGTGTATATACCACATATCTATTTAGCTGGCATTGCTATCAAAAAAAAATTATTTACAGTTTTTTGTCATCGATCTTCTTATGTACAAAAAAAATTGTATGACGCTTATATATGTCATATATGCTAAATGAACTGTAAAGCTTTTATGTACGATTGATATTACACAAGAGAGAAAAATAATTTTTGACATATTTTAGTGACATCAAGAAAAAGTGCATTTTATGAAGTAATTTTGATGTTAATACTCTTTGACAGCTAGTATATCTTGTTGATTATTAGCTTGTTATCACGTTGAATTATTCAATGAGACATAAATACTGAATTGGAAATGTTTTGAACAGTCCTTAAAGACATAAGCTCTATTATTTCATAATTGCGGATTTTTTAGCCGTAATCGTTTTGCTTCATTTCTAACTGCATTTTCTGGTTTTTGCATCTTTTATTTCTGAACTCACTTTTGATGCGAAATTGTTTTGCATCTTTTATTTCTGAACGCACTTTTGATGCGAAATTGTTTTGCATCTTTTATTTCTAAACACTCAATTATCTTACCAAACGCACTTTACAAGCAGAACAGTATTTTTCACCAAACTCGTACATTTTTTGAAGTGTTACTTTTGGCGTCATTACGATAAACGCACTTGCTGAGGTGAAACAGTTTGCGCCAATTTTTCTACATCGCACTTCTTCCTCATTTCTCCTAAGTTTAAAGATAATTTAATTTTCTATTATGATTTTAAAAATCTCAGTAATTACAACTCTCAAGCCATTTGGCTTAATAATCTCAAATAAAAATTGCGAATTTAACTTTCCACCTTCTTTTGTTTTAAAGACAAAGACAAAAGAAATGGTCGCAAAAATAAAAATTATCTCACATTTACACTATAACAATTTACCGCTCGAATATTGACGCTATTTGATTTTAGGATTACATTTTCTGTTAGAATGTCTTCACGACTTTTTGTAGCTTCAATGAATCACAGCAATAATCTTGCTGTTAAATGTATCTTATAAGCTTGTGGACGAATAGTTTACATTGGATATTAAAGAATGTTTCTGAAGACATTTTGTCGTCTTTTATGATTTACACAACTAGCAAATTCAGACAAAGAAAACTGACTTGACTGATCTCAGATATTTAATTACTCATGTTCTTCAGAAACATGTGCGAAGCATCTTTATTGCTGTTTTATATTCTGATCAAGAGATGTCTGAGGAGTTTTTATATCAGTCTGTTGATTTTCCTCACAACAAACTGAATAGTCCTTTAATTAAGTTATGAAAAGGTAATTTGAAAATTCAAAAATAGGCACTTTTTCTCAATTAATTCCTAAATACTCTCCTGTCGATATTCATTCTTAAATACTTAATAAATAATATTCAGAATCAAGCTAAAGCGTGTTGAATATTAAGAATCTTTGTCTCAAAAGTTATTTCTGCTAATAAAAAAAGATGATAAAATCGTAAATGACCATTGACAAGACACCTGTTGAAATGTACGGCTAAAAGTTTGTCTAATAAGAATAGTGCAATAATTATAGGCTAAAAAAAAAGCTCGATTAAAATTCATAATCATCGTCTTCAAAAAAAATCCTACACGAATATTCAATTAAACAATGTCAATAGATTATGAAACGCAAGAAGTAAGAAAGAAGAAGTAAAATTGAAAGGAACAAGTGGAAAAAATTCAAGAACGCTATGTGCGCGTGATGGAACACGTGATGAATACGGATTTTGGTGATTGCAAACTTCTTATTACCTTCCATTCTCTTTTTTTATTCATCATTATGTCTTAAATAAATCAAACACGGAAATTAATTCTTAAATCGTCAATAGATGCAGTCATATGCTTCTACTTGATATGAACTTCCGATGTATTGAAACATTTATTTTGATGTCTTTTAAAAATGAAGAAGTGACGGCGAGTAAAACTTGAAAGGCCCGAAAATGCCAAGTGGATATTTTGAAGCACGATGAAATAATAAATTGTAGTTGAT